TACAGGAACACTGAACTGATACTGGGTGAGCGTGTGTACGTGTGCGTATGGGCCGCGCGCGTATGTACAGTCGGTGTGTTATTAGAGAAGCGCAGAAGAATTATTGTAAACTCTTAAAACACCAGATTGTCTCCCATCCTGGGAGCAGCTTGCGGCCAAACCCACGTGATGAGCTGGCGTCTGCCCATATTTAACGCGCCTATACATAACGCAATACAAAAATCCCCATGTAGCCTGAACAGGCTATTTGGGGAAAGTGCTGTTAGCGAGCACTTATGAAGGCCTGCACGACACACAAGGGGGTGTGTTGGGCGGCCAGCATCACGCCCGGCCGCCTTTGTCTCCCGAGTGGTGAAATTTACGCACCGAACCAGGTACTCATTTCAAACTATTAACTATTTAATAAATGCTTTATTCTACCAGATAATGCCCACTGTGATATAGAGCTCGTTTTCAGAAGCGACCTGGCCACGAATGAAAGCTCAACGAAGTGGCTTATTACATGGAAATGTATTGCAGGCAAACACTCTACTAACGCATGTTTAGAAATGTGGAGGGGAAAACCGGAGGACCCGGAAAAAAATCCACGCGATCACGGGGAGAGAGACACGCAAACTCCAAATACACAGCAGGCGTCAGGGTCGGATCGAACCCACGACCTCCTGTATACCAGGCGAGGTAGTTAACATCTCGCCACCGCGGTACCCATTTGAAGATGAATCGACTTCGGGGAGGCCCAGGACCGGTTCTTTATACTGTTGGGTTGGTGGACAGACAGAGGCAGGGTGATTCCTGAAACTTTCTCAGCGTTTCAATTGCCGCACCAATGGGTCAAACCGGCGACCTGCGTAAATAATTATCATTCTACAAAGCAGTGCCCATGTAATCGACCCCCTGCGTGATGATTGGTGATGAGAGGCTGAGTCACGTTCAAATTTCTCATGGAATACTTTCCAGAGCCACCCATTTCACGGGACCCCACTCCGGCCGTGGTGGTGGTGGTGGTGGCGGCGGGAATGGTGGTGGAGTTGGAAGGAGGGGTGGAAAAGACGGCCGAGTAATATTTTCCGGAGCTCAGCCCCGGGAAGCTCCACCTGAAATTAAGCCCTGGCCAGCAAAAGAAAAAAAAATCGCCGAGTCGCCTCCACGAGTCCACGGCAGGAGTCACCGCGGCGATTCGGGGAGAGGAGGTGAAGGAGCCCGTTGCCACTCCGCAAACAGCATCTGCGACCCGGTCCTCATTAAGGCGCGTTCACTCATTAATTACTGTCCAGCCTGCTGCTGCGATAACTAGCAACGAGTGGCTGGAGCCCTCCCATCATCATCATCATCATCAATGCCGCTCTCTCAAAAAGAGGGAGAAAGCGATACGTAACAACCTTGGCAAGTTTTTATTTTGTTAGGGTACAATAAATTAATGCTCTCCATAGCGCCAAGTCAAAAGTCGTCGAATTCACGCAATTTTTCTGAGTAATGGCGGCGTGGTGCGCGTCTCTGTTGGTGACCCTGAGCCGGTGCTGGAAATTCCACATGCCTATGGTCGGGATAAGTCTTTTCACACACACAAACACACGACTGTTGTTTGTAATGCCACTTGTGTGGTGGACCTTTTGAGTGCAGTTGATCATCGATTATCCGGCTGCTTACAACATTATCCGGCGGTCCCGGGCGTGACAAAAAAAAGTAGCTATGCTTGATTTCAGTGTTAACTATTATATACGGTACATTATACACTACATACAACTTAAACAATGAAATTCTGCACGTATATATCACCCTATGCAGAGTCATTGAGATGCAGTCATTGAGATGGGAGTGGTAAGTACGGTACAGTAAATACGGTAACTTTTAAAAGTAGGATATTTAGTGTCCATTTGTACGTTTATTAATGCGTATTTCACGTCGTTAGCAAACTTAAACACATGTAACAACACCTACAAACATGTCATGCAAGAATGTGCAAAAAAACGCTATTTAAAATCATGGAGTGATTAGCCCGCGTTTTTGAAACCCGGCGCCCAACCCCCCGAAACCACTGGATATAATCGATGATCTACTGCATACTTCTTCGATATGCATGGGTGTTCTCCAACCCATCGGCTGTATTGCCACACGCAAAACATTTAAATAGGAATCGGGCAAACATTCCAACACAAGACCCCTCCTGTAACATGTCGAAGTGAGGATTTTTTATTTAACTAAAGTATATGGAATGACAATTCGGTAGAGGCGTAAGAACGCATTTATTCATCAAATATAAATGTTTAAGCTCTTGAAATATGCATCGGATCGCATGCTATTCACATGTTGCACCTGAAAAGGTTCACGTGACGCATCCAGCCACTGGTGGCCACTGCACTCATCACAATGGTTACAGAAAATCGATATATATATTTTTAAAAGAAAACCTAATCTCATCTCTAATAGTGGAAAATCATTGTGGGCGTGGGTTGTATTATTAAAGCTCTACTGCTTGGAGCAGTGGTTCTCAAACAACCGCTCCTGAAGTGCAGACGTAGATACCCCTGGTTCTGACGTGATTCAAGGAGCGAGATGAGTTTTTTTTCGGTTAAAAAAAAAGTTATTTATTTGCAATATTTTACACGGTACACAAATATACAATTTAGTCACATTTCTGAAACAATTGTAACTTGGTTCTTCTATTTTTTTTTTTAAAGAATACGAGGAAACACAGTATAAAAACGTAAAAGCAAATTCTATCATTTTTGCGGTGAACGTACCAGCTAAAACGTGAAATTCTAATACGTTACGTGTACGGTTTTTTTTCTCTCATAAATATTAGGGTTCATATAACATACACATGGAAAGAACAAAACAAAAAAACACAAAGTCAGCAGTTTCAGAGATCGATTGACATAATCGACATTTAAGCGTGGCTCGTGAAAGCCACGCAACAAACCTTACCTCTCCACAGAAAGACCACATTAAATAACACCTTTTGTTTTAAATTTAAAGCTTTCGTGACTGCAGGGATTCATATTCTTGGTTCTTTTGGTAAAGTCACGTCGAAGAGAAATAATAAAATAACAAGAATAAAACAATAAAAATTCTCACGACGTTTCCATTGCAACACACCTGATGATGATTGCTCGTGTTGCAATCGAAACGTCATGAGAATTCTATTGTTTAATTGTTATTATTTTATTATTTCCCTTCTACGTGACTTTACCGAAAGAACCAAGAATATGAACACCTTTTGTTGTTGTGGAACATTGTCCCATTCGCCTACACTTCTTTTTAAACGCTGGACAGCTGGTAACAGAATGGCTCTCGTTTTTAGGGTTTTCAGAGGTGTGGCTTTATGCGCATACAAATGTTACTTGATTGACTGAGAACCACAGGCTGACAACGGAGTTAAAATAATAGGCTTCATAACCTTCCTCTGCCAATAAAACAGGTGTTACGATGTTCAAACACCAAATAGGTACCTATTTCAAGGCGTCAAGTCTGCATTAACCGCACAAACTTGGGGCAAAACATATAAACAAACGTGCTCTAATAAAGACGAGGCATATATTATTACAGCATGTTTGTTTTCATGTTTTGCCAAAAATATGTGGTTAATGCAGCCTGTATGCATTGCAATAGTTATCTATTTGGTGTTTGAACATCTCAAGTTTCATTGCCAGAAAGGGTAAAGAGCATATTCTTGTTTTTTTATTATTTTGATACTGGTCCCATTGACAAAGGAGTTGACAGTTCAATCGGTTTCAGTTCCGAAAACGTCTTTGCCCTTAAGAATACACACACGACCGTGTTGTATTAACCAGGGCGGACGTGGATCGCGAACTGTGAATCTCTACAGTTGGCAAAAGCGCTACAGCTTGCCATGTCAACTGCCCCAATGGAACAGTACTTTCCCATGGCAGATAATTAACCAGTTTTGAAACCGTCAGCCAAGTTCACAAATCACGCAACACAAGTGACTTTTCCCAGATCCTGACCCCAACTGTGACTCCCCCTTGCAGCAGCTGTACACAGAGACCAGTGTTGTGAATCACACATTCTAAACGATGATTCTCAAGAGACTTTTCAACATCTTAGGGATTTTTTTTAAACATTCGATATCGAGATGGACAGGTGACTCTGAGGTCAACAGCGCAGAGCATACATTGCTGAGCTCCTGGTTTCCAAATGTGGGCTTTAGCTGTCAGTGATTGAACTGGGTTCTCAAGGGGAGTGAGTGGATGGTCTCGGCAAGGTCACCCAATGAATGAACAAAAAACACTTCACATTCGGATTTTTGCTGCTTTGGGCAACATTTTCGGCTCTGAGAATTAAGAACAACAAAAATCAGTTTGAGAGTTATGTCACTAACATCACCGTACAGCAGGGAGCATGGGTAAATGCAGCGCCCATTTACTGTGGATAAAAGAGGTCACTTGAAGTGATCTCAAAAGTAGTTATGTGATATCTCATCTAATTTTATATTGAATGAGCACCTTAAGTCAAGGGGCTTGACAAAGGCTTCCAAAACGGAAACAGAATAGAATGTTTTTGACGGTCTCGGCGTGTAGGGATCGAGGAATGAGTGACTGCGGCAGAGGGTGCTTGGGGATTACGAAAGGGTAGGGGGGGAGGGACGGGAAGGAGTGGAGGGGCGACGGGAGCAAAGAGAATGTAGGTTGTTATCTAACTCGGTGACCGTTCAAGACACGTCCCATGACACAACACCGATGCCACAATTAGAAATGGTGGGGAAAAAAAATGAACACTTTTTTTTTAAAGCCTACATTACACTTCACGCCCATCCCAACCCAACTTACCATTTGTACGCTGGCGATACGTCTTGATAATGTTGAAAGATCCCTTAAAGACATTCGTTGGTTTAACCACTCATTAGCCCGAATGGAAACACCTACTGGGGAAAAGTTTGGGGTGTCAGGTTTTACAAACGACTGGGGGTTTCACCTGCAAGACAGTTGTGCAAAGCCTCAAAACGAAAATCTGGTTTTGCGTGTGTCAGAATCCTCAAAGCGTCCAAAACCCATTTTGGATCGCTTTGTCAGTGCGACTTCAGAGCACTATTTTATCATGCAGTGGGAATCATGCTTTCCGGCCATCCAGTCCCTAAACTGGTCGTTCACAATTGGTACTGGGGCCGATTTACTAACTACGGTAATAATTATCGGCGATCACCAAGAGGTAATTTAGCTGTACACACGTCTACTCCTTCATCACCTGCATTGGTACGCATCACCGCTGTACTCCCGGATTAATATCGCCAGCAGATCTATTCGACTGCCTCAATTATGATCTGGAACGAAACGGACACAGCATCGTCGTATTCTCTGTTCGTGGCCATTTAATTTTATATTACACACACGTATTTCAGTTTACTATCGCTCGGGATTCCACCAGTGCTGACATAGCGTTGCCAAGTTGTTTAACAAGAAGCTGGGACAGACACAAGTAGTCCATGTTATAATTTCTATGAACGACTATTGAGCCAGGTGTTAACTGGCTGGGTGGTGCTCTAAGTTAAAAGTCGCGAGTTGAATTCCTGGTTGGAATTAAGACTTGGTCTATCAACCCTCAAGTGTTGATAAAACGAGTACCACTTAAGTGGGCCATCAACTGTGGCCAGATGAGTGTTCGGCCGACCCCTGCCATGGGAATGTGGAATTTACACTGCCGGCTCAGGGCCACCAGCAGAGAAAAGCACCATCACATTGCTCGTTGCCCACTTGAACTCGGCTTGGTGACAAAAACTGAATGCAGAAAATGTTCAAATGTTCCCGACGCGGGTGCATTCCTTCGCGACATTTCAATAACCGCTCATCAAACGCGCGTCTCACCACGGCTGACGACACTCCCTTCGGGAAAATGTCCATTCGCAGCAAGGAGGGAATGCTCGTAAACCAGCCCTCACGCCATGAGCGCACACATTGATGAGACATCGTCATAAGAATCATTGCTGTTTGCTTGTAAACGACGCTTGCAGTACGAGGACACGACACTCATAAGAGTGTCCCTCTTATAAGGTAGTCCAGGATGAATGACTGTACTCCACCGCTCACTCGGTTTGTCTTCACCCTCTAAGTAGTGGTAGCTCCCCCAAACGCTTCCGCACGAAAAGCTGCCACGGATCGATGTACTTTCATTTCAGTTCGTTGCTTTTTTATATTTTATACATCGGCATTCGCTTCCGGTTAATCTTCCCGGGCCATTTGCCGTAATTTCCATTACCATTAACAGCGGTCATTTGCCGGGGTTCTACAGCCGGGAGGGTAGACAGAAAAGTGCTGGGGTGAATTATCTCGCGCAAAATGCACTCCCAACAACTCTTATTTTGATTCCCTCCAAGCAACGCTTCTTAAATAGTGTCCCATTTTATAGTCCATTAGTTGCGATTTAGTAATTATGCCACCCTCATAATCAACTAATTGCAATTCGCATTTATGTCATTAAAAGCACCTGACCTGGCGCCTGCATAAAATCAGGTGGTGGCCGTGGCGAGGGGTGGAGTGGAGGGGGGTGGACATTACGTCGTCAAGACGTGTTAGAGCGGAGAACAGAGGGAGGTGGCGACACCATCCCCATTAGGCTCGCTCGCTCCATCGTTCTCTGCTCGTGGCTTCGGTGAACAAGACGGCGATGGGCGGTCCCCGCTGGCACCAGTCGGATGGGCAGGCGAGAGGGTGGCAACGCTCTCTCTCTCCGCCAGTCACGACGACTTCACCATCTCGCTGACGTACCAGTCGGGCAGGAACGCGAGCTCCGAGTCAGGGTGAACGCTGTACGTGACGTCGCGGCCTGGCTCCCAGGAGAAAAGGTACACCGTCCTGCAAGCCAGCAATCCATCGTCAGGTGGCAGCTGTGAACAATCTACTGCTGGATGAAGGCTTTCCCAAGCCACAGCCATTCCTAAGTCTAGCTAGGAAACAATAGACACATCTTAGACCTGCACACGAGGCAAATTCATCGTCCCATCTCGACAAAAAATTTGGCTACGTTTATCTCGGGCATGTTATCCCCTTTGTTGGCTGCCCTCCATCGTCAGCCTTGTCGAGTGGCCATCAAGCCAGTAATTATTATTATTATTATTTTATATTGGCAGGGAACGGTTGTGCTCACCTGTGATCCAGCACTCTGGAGGGGAGGGTTGATGGATAACACAAATGTGAAATCTCAAACCTGCCGAGTTGTACGGCGGTTCAGATATGGTAGGGAAAATGGATTTTAACTCGTCTGTGCAGACCTTCCAAGTGTTATCCCCTTGTACGCATGGATCTGTTTTCTGATGGTGTTTAAGTGTCATCCCACATGCAAATGTACTTGATAATAAGTATCCAAACATCCCAATACAGGTCCCCTTTAAAAAAAATCTTCATTGAGACTTTGCCGGACAAATGGCGTGATAATTAATTTTGTGAAACTCAAATCAGGGATGTATTAAAACAGGTCATTTAAAAAAAATAAAGATCGGCCTTTTAAATATGTTATGTGTATAATGAGATCCAGGTCAGAAACTGGCAAGCCCTGTAAATGTGTCATGAAAATATGCATAAGCAGAAGCTAAATAAAACAAAATCGGGGCAACCTTGGCCTTAATATAGAGCCACAGTAGAGGGCAAGAGCAAAAAATATCCATTGTTGTACTGTCCTATGCACAAATATCTATGGCTCCCCACCTGTACTAATTCGCACTGGCCAGCATGGAGAATATGGTCAAATAACCCCCACACTCACTTTGGGTCATCCTTTGTCACAACCTTCTTCATGAAGGTCAGAAACGCCTCAACAAAATTGAGACAAACCGAGCCATTCCATGCCTCCTGGTCATCCTACAACACAAAAATGCGTGAACGCACGCGTAAAAGACAAACATCAGAAGGTGCCAATGCCAACGCATTTGCGCGCACACACAGCCCCCCCCGCAAGCAAGCTTCTGTGAAAGGCCCATTAATCACTGGCCCCACAGCCTGGCCCTTCATTAGCACCCTTCATTAGCAGCAACACGATCTCTGCAATGAACCAGGACAGGAAAAACATTCAAGTTTACTTCTGGCGTCCTCCAAAACGTGCTCTGCTCTAACACGGAAGCGCGGTTCCCAACAACGGGCCAATGCCGCATTCCACTCGTCTCCCAAGTGATCACCGGGTTTAATGTTCACATGAGAAAGGTGATGATTTAACATTTCGCTTTTTTGAGCACGAAACACGTCTCACCGCGACCATCTTGGGGATGTGCAGGGTCTCGAAGGTCTGAAGTCTCCGCACCACGCCCTCGTCATCACGGAAGCCGGCCACTATTTTTGGCACTCCCACCAGGAACGACTGGGCCCACCACTTGATCAGCTTAAACCTAGACGCACCCAAATTGACAAATATATTTAAAAAAAAACGGCCAAAATGCACTGCTTTGGTAATTTTTCTCACTGTCGTTAAGGAAGTTTAGCCAAATTTTGGATGAAAAGGAACACTGGCACCAGCATGTGCATGAGGTCCTTATGTTCCCTGAATAAAAATACACTTTTACAAATACAATTTAGATTGATACCAATGTCTAAATGCGACCTGCATCTCCAGGTGCTGTAAACTATATGATCAGTGGAATTGTTTTTAAATTTACACCATGCTGGCGTTTGGGCTTCCCTTAATTTCCACACAACAGATTGCGAACATCTATTAAGAGTGTATATATATCTCGCCACCGGTGCCATATTGGCGAAATGTTAACTATCTCGTCTAGTATACAGGAGGTTGTGGCTTAGATCCCAACCCTGACGCCTGTATATTTGGAGTTTGTATGTTCTCCCTGTGGTCGCGTGTATGTTTCTCCGTGTCCTCCGGTTTTTCCTTCCACATTGAGAAACATGCGTTTAAGAGTATTTGGCTGCTAAAAATTTCCACGTGATAAGCCACGTCATTGGGCTATCATTTGTGGCCAGGTCACTTCTGTACAATAGCTATATAGCTCACTGGGCCTTACCTGGTAAAAAAAAAAGTTAGTATTTATAAAAATCCTACAACGATCATTCAGCAAAGACAGTGCTCATAAACGGCATAGTAGCGCACACTAACGGGTTCATACGCAACTTGGAATTTTTATTGCATCTCATGACGAAATGCATACGCAACTGTGAGACGTAGGACGTACCAAGTCTACACAGGCCAATCGTAAAGTGACCCCCCCCCCCCCCCGTGTAAACACCGCGCTGACGGCTCGCACGACGACAGTCCCTTGGGAATCCCACGAGAGCCAGAGGGGGCTCCTTACGCGCAACGTTGCTAGGATGTAAATCAAGCGAGCACACACCAGCCACGTCAGGTGGCCCCCACGGGCGGAAACACTTGCACACGTCAGCAGAGAAACCCGTTGGCCCAAACAGCGAGTCTGGGGAGCCGATGTGACTTTCAAATCAGAAACAAAGCCAATAGTGGCAATTCCACATTCACACTGTCGAGAGCAGTCTATCCATAGCAGTGCCTTGTGAGGATCATAGGCAGCTAAACGTGCCACTGTAGCCCTTCCCCCTCATTGCCACTGGGCTAGCTGCTCCTGAGGTGGGGGGTCCAAAATAATACTTTGGGCAATATCGACAAAGTTTTCCTGCTAAAAAAAATGGGTGTAGATGGTACTTGTTGGCTGCCTTGAGTCAGTGGTGGAAATTCCACATTGCCATGACAACACCAGCATCCTCAGAGGATAATTACAACAGAGTTGTCAGACTGGTACTCATTTTAAGGGCCCTGGAAAGATGATGGGCTGAGTGGATCATTGACGGATTCCTCCAGGATAGATACAATTATGATTCTAACCTGGATTTGAACTTGCAAACTTGTGATTGTGAGCCAAAGACTCAAACATAAAGCACCACCCAACCAGCTTACAAAAGTCCTTTACAATAACACATCCTGTAAAATGCTGGCATGGCCAAGGCGATGTTATAATAGTTCAATATGAAATTGTTTTGCAGGTTACATATCTGTCAAATTTCATTTTATTCACTGTTTGGGATGAGGTTGCAGCTCAGTTTCTTCAGAGTGGGCCGTGCAATCGCTTTGCTTCCGACAAGAAAACCCAAAACGCCAACACCGACCTGTGCAGATTGCGCCTTTGGTTGGGGGTGTACAACTCGCGGCTGGTCTTCAGCTCCACATAGTTGGAGGAATGCTGCTGCTGAGGCCTCTGCCCTGAGGCCCGACGGGCTGGCGTTGCCGGCTCGGCATCGCGGTGCTTGTCCACCTCGGCATTGTGGCAGGAGAGACAGTCGACCTCGCCGGCGAAGACAAGGGAGTGGCTCTTCAGCCGGGTCCGAACCACCGTGCAGAACGCCTCATTTGTGTTGACGACGCCGCCGGGGTCCGGAATCCCTCCGGGGGTTTCTGAAGGCGCAAAGACGTGCAGGGGTAACCAACGCCTCATTACAGGAAGACACGATTGGGGTGGCGGGATGGCTGGGTGGTTTGAAGGTTATAACACCGAACCACTGCCTCAAGAGATCCTGGGTTCAAATCCCAGGTTTTAAGCTGCCTATGCCATGCTTTAAAATCCTATGTTTTAATCTGTGGTGTGAGGTGGCTTTCATCCCGCTGCGGACTGACAAAGGGTTGCAAAGGAGTAAACTTATCGAAAAGGGTGGTACCGGCGCTCACCTGCACAGAGATACTGCTCGAACTTGTAGCCCCAATAGGTCATCTCGCGCTGGCGCGCGTCCCGCGTCCCCCGCTGCCGTCGCGCCTCCTCCGTCTCCATCTCGCTCATGTAGCGCGTGCCGGCCAGCAGCGTGACGGCCATGAGCCAGCCCTCGTGTCGCTCGTACGGCGTGCAGGCCACCTTCGTCAGGTGGCCCCTCCACGTCACCACGTCCGTGTGCAAGCTTTCGTTAGCGAGCGTCGAGACAACAATAAAAACGTATGGGATTACAAAACAACGGAGTGGAACACTGGGGCAGTGCTTTTCCACACTCTGCCATAAACCCAGCGTCCCGAGGTTGATTACTGGCCATGACTAAAATCAGTATGAGTGATATCTGAACCAGTGCTGGTCACCAGCTACACCAGCCTGCACTCTCTAGCGTAATTAATTATGAAATGATTAGGGGAGGCCTTCAACCAGCATTGGACCGGCAAAGAGGCTGTCCATTACCATTACCCCACAGGTACGCAATGATTCACACATATGCATATTCTCTCCACTGCTTGACCCACACAAAGCGATTTAATGAACTGTCACGATTTTGGGTGATGAATGCATTCACAAAGCGAATCTATACAGCCCATCTGGTGAAGTTGAGTGCATGGTTGGGTAACTAAAATAGCAAAAGCAAGAAGAGAATGACTCGGACGAGAGGTCAAACTGACAAGGGAAGATCCACAAGAGGCATCTTTGGCGATTTGGACGCGTGTCTAGAATGGATGGAGAGAATACCACACGTGGCGTTATGCACACAGGCACACGGAACAAGAAACGGAGGAAGAGCACAGCTGCGCTGGATTAAGACACGGCAAAACAATATCTCAAACGAAAGGGGAGACAATAAAGCAGTGAAGCTGGTGGAATGCAGGGACAGGTGGAAAGCTCTCATGCAGCCCCATCTTCTGTAAAAGAAGACAACACCATATGCATGAATTCGTGTTACGGTCACGGGTGGGGTTCATGTGCAATTGGCTAGCTTGCTTTACCATCACACTACCTTGCCCTTCTTCCACTATTGTAACCTATGACCTTTTCCGTTTTTGCCCACTTTTCATTTTTTGGTGCTCACTGCATCACCAGTCCGGCTTAGGTTTCAGGTAGATACACCTCCCAAACAGCCGTTAACAACCATTATTTTGTGTGTTGTCTTGGTGGTATGTGGGTTATTAAAGCACATATTCCAGCCAGCATTGGTTTAAAAGTTCACCTGTTAGGTACAATGCTGAAGGGAAAACATTGATCAAATGTTTCAAGAGGAAAAGACGCTAAATAATGTTGGCAGATATTGAACAAATGTTGGTAAGAACACATTGTTCCACGAATCCCAGAGGTTGATGGACCAAAACTTAAAAAAATTTTAGTCGTGAACATTATTAATAGTTTATTACAAACAGTGTAATAATTCCCCATGGATGGTATTCAATTCAAGAACCGGTTCAATCTATTTCACCTCGTTTTTTACCGTCTCATTTTCACAGTTCCGTCTCGTATGTACAATTGTGTTCGCCTAACTGCGTAAACATCACAGTCCGACCGACACACGTGGTTACATGGCCGCATTGCAAACCTGTCAGAATGCATACTAATACACACTGATGCATCAAATACACCTCAACCAATGCTTCTGAAGTCACCTTCCCCGTTCCTCGGTATTGTCAGGTAGAGGAGCTCTGCCGAATGCCTGTCAAGAGTTGTCAACTTAGCGATTGTAACGACTTTTTGGGGTTTCAAAAACTACAAAATACGAATTGACAAAAAGGCAATACTGTACTTCATGAAGCTGGATCTGGGCTCAATTACAATTGGAATTGTGTCACTGGTGACGAATAAATTCAGATAACAACACAACTGTCAACTCCTCATGAGTGCCTACTTTATTACAGACCAATTCAGACACTTATTGGTCACCTCGTGCCCTTATAAATCCCAACGTTCATCCCACAATGTTCCCATCACAAGGGAGAAAAACACAAATAGACAATATTTGTGGCTTCCCGTATTGAAACGGCTGTACGCCGTGTGGACCCGAAAACTCAATTTCCCCGTACAAGAATACGGGGGTAACCCGTCTGGGTTTGACAGCCGTGTAACAATACGGTGCCTGCTGTAATTGTAATCGCTGTGCGATTGAACCCGGGTCTGGTGTGAAGGGTCTGGTGTTGACGACTTCCGAACGCCTACTTTTAGTCGCGTCGGCTTGTCGAAACTCCGTTTGGCGACTTTCCCCCCCACGACGATGACTCTCGCAATTGATTGCAATGTTGCCGTTGTCATTGGAGGTGGGGGGGGGTCGGGAGGTCAAATGATGACGGCTAAGTTGTCCACCCCTCACCCCTACCTCGTCTCTCTCTATCTCTCTCGCTCACCTGGGGATGGCAGCGCTGTCCCGCAAAGTCTCCCCGGCGAGGGCGAACTTGTACCGGTTCGGCAGGATCCATCGCAGGACGTGGTCCAGCCTCTCCTTGACGTTGTCGTCTCGCTGGACGTAGCGATCCGAGTATCCGTCCCGCAGGTCAAATTCCACACGTGTGGCACCACCACCACCACCACTGCCTCCACCGCCACCACCAGAGGTAGCGGCAACGCCAAATCCTCCTGCTCGAGCACCACCTCCACGAGTGTCACCGGCGCCAGCAGTAAGGCCGTGTCCTCCGCAGCCTCCATCGCCTGCTCCGCCGCCGTCACCACTGCTCGCCGCGCTGCCAGGCTCGCCACAGCCCACACTGCCTCTGTGTCCGTCGCCTGTCCCAGGTCCATCGCCCACATTTCCACCACCGCCGTGGCCGTCGTCAGCTCCAGCACGGCCGGCGTCCCTCTGCCCAGAGGCCGCCCCACGAACTCCATCCCGGACCCGTCCACGGCCACCACCACCGCCGTCGTCCCCTTTTGGTGGAGCATAGTAGCGCAGCTGCCTGGCGTCGGCGTGGAAGCGCCGCTCGGCGTCCAGGGAGAAGCATCCGACCTCGACGGGCTGGCGGTAGAAGGGGAAGCCTCCACCGTGATCGTGTGGCCGGGTGGACAGAGACAATGGGATGTCGCCGACTCGACCTCCGTGTCCATGCGCGCCGCCTCCACCGGCCTCGGCCGCCCGCGGTGTCCTCTTGGCGCCGGGAGGCCCCGCGTCGCCGTCGATTTTTCGTTTGTGAGAATCGTCGAGACGCGGCCGAGAGTCGTCTGGGCGAGGGCTGATGTCGCTGTCGCCGCCGCTGCTGCCACCGCCGCCGCCGCCCTCTTTCCACATCCTCCGCGGCGGCCGCTTGTCGCCGCCTCGGCGGCCGAGTCAGGCGGCGCCGTCCCCGGCGGGCAGTCCAGGCGAGACCGTAGGCTTGGGCCTAGCGAACATCGGCGTCTTGCCCGGCGTGTCTTTGTGGAAAATTAATAAAACAAATTGGGGGGGGGGGGGCTGAGGGGGTTTGCGAAACAATTTATTTTTAAAATTTTTTTTAGTTTTAGCACCAGCGGGGGGTTTAAATTCTCCTGTTTGTTCGGGGTGGAGGGGGGGGGAGAAAAAAACAATTGTAAAATTTCGTAAAGCCTCGCCTGCCGTTGGAGTTTGTTGATTTGTCACGGTTGTGTGGTTGTTGGGTTTTTTTCACGCGCGCGTTTAAATCGGCTGGGGGGGGGGGGGCGATTTTTTTTTTAGTCGCCGCGGGAACGCGCGCGAGCGCTTCGACGAATCGCCGCCACAAAATGGACTCGCGGCGGCCACTTGCCGCGTGCTGCCGGCAGGGGTCACTGTCTGAGTGCCGTTTGTTTGTTGGTTGTTGTTGTTCACTTTTCCGTTACCCGACGTTATTTAAAGTCGATTTATCCGCCCTCCTCGTACACCACCCCCACACACCGCGCCCCCCTGTTTCTGACGAGTTCCAGTGTGGCCGATAACGTCGATGCCGCTGTTAACGCCGTGCAGAATGTCGCGATGTTGCGATGTGATGATATGAAGGAGGATGTGGAATTAAAAAAAACATTATTTAAATTTTGATTTAAAGCTTTCGTGACTGCAGTAATTCATATTCGTAGCTCTTTCGGTAAAGTCACTTTGAGGGGAAACAAGAAAATAATAAAATATATAAAACAATACAAATTATCACGACCTTTCGACCATAACACAGACGGTCGTCATCAGGTGTGAAAACCCTGATGATGACCGTTTGTGTTATGGTCGAAACGTCGTGAGAATTTTTATTGTTTTATATATATATTTTATTGTTTCCCTTCAACGTGACTTTACCGAAAGAGCTAAGAATATGATTTTATTAATAAAAAAAACACATCGTTTTATCCGCAATACGATTCGTTAATTGGTCCATATTTTTTTCTTCTAGATTTGAAGTTTTACGTGACTGCAAGGATCCATATTCTCTGGCTCTTTCGGTAAAGCCACGTAGGTAAAAATAAAATAAAACAAAAATGAAAACTGAATTAAATCACGACGTGAAAATGAAAACAACTAAATTAAATGACGACCTAATTTCAATTAAATCACGACGTGATTTAATTTCGTTTTCATTTTTGTTTTATTTTATCCATATATTTTTGTTGGGTTATGTCAGCTGTAAGAAAAACTATAACCAACCTACAAGCCTTTCGACAGAGAGCCGATAACATCAAGTTGTCAAATTTCACGAGCAAAACGTGCCCAATTTTAAATTGGTTCGGCAGAAAAAAGCTGGAAAATGGGGCGGGGGTAAAAGGGACAAATTACATTTTTGTTCCGATTGTCAAATTCACACAAACGTCAACATCTGGTCGCTTTTCCACACTTGTTTTTTTTACGCGATTTAAATATTTACGCCATCTAAGCCAAAACAACCTCTTATGGATGATATTGGTCGCGAAAGCCTACGCGTTCAGCTGACTAACCGCTTTTCTTCAAACCAGAAAATTGGAGAATCTCCGAATCAAGCGGATGAAGCTGATGTCCTTGCTGGCGTTCCTCATATTTACGCGATTTAATCCAAAAAACTGTTACGAATTATTTCTTTGTTTAACGATACGAAATCAATTGGCGTATTTTGTCCATGACGTGACAACTCGATTCGATCGGCTTTTGTCGGGTGGTGGAGGGTAGAGCGCCTTGTGCGACAAGGCGGTTAACATGGTTTCAAAAGCAGTAACAAAATCGAGTGATTGAGATGGAAAGGGCCGATGAATGAGTGACCGTAACAGAGGACACGTGGGCGGTTACGGAAGGGCTACAGGGGAGGGACGGGAAAGGAGTGGAGGGGCGAGGGGAGGGAGAAGAGGTGAGGCTTTGAGAGAGGAACGAAACGAGGTTATGGAAGAGGACTGCTTCACGTACAGGGGCAGTGGGAGGGACGGGAAAGGAGTGGAGGGGCGAGGGGAGGGAGAAGAGGTGAGGCTTTGAGAGAGGAACGAAACGAGTGCTGAGTCTATGGGCATTGTTGAGTATATGGGCAGTATTGAGTCTATGGGCAGTGTTGAGTTAATGGGTAGTGCTGAGTCTATAGGCAGTGCTGAGTCTGGGCAGTATTGAGTCTATGGGCATTGCTGAGTCTATGGGCAGTGCTGTGTCTATGGACAGTGCTCCTTAATGTAAAGGGAAAGTTGATTCCAGTGGAGGGGTAGAAGGAGGGAGGATGGTCGAAAATGATAATGGGCACAGGTATCTAACCGAAAATAAACTAATTATGAATTTAAGTTGTTTTAAGGTATGACTATCATTAACAAATTGGTATTAGGACATTGAAATGGTCCTTAATGTTACCGATTTTTTTTCGTTTGCTGTAAACATGGATCACTATACAATAAAACATGTTCTTGTTATAATGTTTTCGAACGTATATTTGTATTATAATGTATGGTTGTCCTATGTACTGTATATATAATATTGCACCCCATAATAGAACTGTGGAATTTACACTCATGATTAATTAACATACTGGAGTTTAATTGTTGATTTAATTTACAATTTTTATTAACTAGGCGTTGGTTTCATATAAGTTAACTAATTTAATACATATTCTTAGTTTTTTCGGTAAAGTCACGTTGAAGAGAAACAACAGAATAACAAAATATATGAATTACTGCAGTCACGAAAGCTTTAAATCAAAATTTAATTTAATACAATTAATCGATGTTTTAGTTTGGTGAAAATATAGTTATTTATTGTTTTCGTACGTTTCTGAAAGTCTGGCTTAAGTCTCCAAGACGCTATGTTAATGAAGGCGTACCCCAAACCTGTGAATAAAGTTATAACAGCGCCTCTTATAATCAGGATACGGTCATATTTTATTTGGATATCCTTGGTGAGGATTGCACTCATATATGGAATTTCCACAAACGATAATTATTAGTTATAATTAACATTAATGATTCATTTTAAGGATAATTAATTACACATCAATGTGATATACAGAATTACTGACAGTACGGTAAAGCGGTGACATTAAAAATAAGTGGACCTGTCACCAAATCCCGATCGCCGGTCATCACAATTGTACGGTAATCCATCACATCATCAATGTATAGTCTCATTTGTGTTGTACGTCGTTGGTCATTTGTACATACAGTATATTTGTACTGCCCCTTTTGTGCTGTCTTGTTTTTTTAATTTTGAGTCTGTTTCATTTTGTCCATTTGTAGCATTCGTTGTCCATCAGAATACCTCGTCTGCACTGCCTCGTGTGCTATTGCTTGTCTACTGGTAAACTTACCGAACGTTGGATAAACGTTGGTTGACTGTGGACCAACGTAGGCCCAACTTCAACCAATGTTGGCTCAACGTTGCATGTTTACTGGGATAATATGATCATCCCCAAAAATAACTATTACCTTAATTTCTGGTGAGTTATATTATAATTCAGAATATATTTTTGTGTTGGGCCGCTTAATGATCCGGTCAAATGTTGTGTTGAAAGACCCTCTACCCACCCGAATTAACCAAATAAATGAAACTGTCGCTTGCACAAGGGTTTAACGCGCAACATATGGTTGTTTCAGTCGCCCGGGAAGTTGGCGATTAATTCTCACAATTGACATCGACATACTTGAAACTTACGTCAATGTGATATACATCTGGTCCAACACCAATGGAGACTAGGCTCTAAGAAAAGCCGTCTCGGGTGTGGACCAATCAATTTCAAGGACATTGCATATCATTTTCAGAGTTGTCTCTTTTTGTTTGCATTTTGACTGCTTGTGTTGTGGTTATTGCAAACATGATCCCTTGTATAAAGGTGTCAGTTTTGGTGCCAGATAAAAGGGTAAAAACATATTACTATTACGTCAAGCACCTTAAGTATGAATTTCGAGTTTATTTTATATTCCGATAAATTTGTGTATGACCAGATTGTCATCTTCTGGAGAATACGGGTAATATAATTGTTGTAGCTTTATCGATAATCGCTGGCAAAAAAAAAATCCCATGAAGAATTCCACTGTCTTTTGTGAAACATGAGATTTTCAATAAAGCATGCTGCAAATGTACGCTCAGAATAAATATGAGCAAAAAACACAGGTCACATTCAACAAGTTCAGTGAACGATCATCATATATAATCCGTGGGAGGGACACAAGTGGAAAACACAGGAGCACCTCGGTCAGCTACTGAAAATCTCCACTCAGTATTTCCGTGGTTACACACCGCACACACATGTCAGCAAGACAACGAAATGAGAGTTCTTATGCAGTCGCTGCGTTGACACATTTTTAATTTATTTTGTATGCGAGATTCGATTGGTCATACGTACGAGTATCATAAACGAATGATCTGGTGATGGATGCTGCGTTGGCAAGTGGTGCACAAGCACAATTAAAAAAAAGACTGAACACACTCGTCAACAACACTGCCTTAAAATAAAAAAAAAATCCTGCATAATCGGTGACGTATCAGGCAATGGCCGGTCTTTATCGCATTTGAAAAATGGTCATTGCAATGAAAAGGTCCATTGCCTGAAACGTCATTTATAAGATTTATTTTAAGGCAGTGTTGTTTTTTTCATATGAGTATAGGTTCACCCTTACGCAGTGGGAGAGCGAGCACGGTCATGAAAGAGCTGGTTAGCTCTACTGATGATGGTACTTTTACGATGAACATTTGAAAAATAATACAGAAATAAATTACGGCAGGAATTATCATTACACAGCTTGCATTAATGTGAAGACAGCACCAGTGAATGCATAGACAACTTACTTTAATACCTATTCATATAATCATTAAGTGTTCTATCCGTAGATATGCCTGAGGCAATACAAGCCCGACAATATGTATATATTTATAAGCAATATAATCAGAATGCAACAAATCAAATGTCTCCCTGCTCAAGTGAGCACGTGGCAGGGTGATTGTCCTCAGCAAGTGGTGATAATTCTACATCCTCATAGCAGGGGTCAATCACTCCAAAGGTCAACAACTATTTATACATCCCACAAAGTGGTTATCATTTTAGCCACCCTAAAATTGTTATTAGCAGAGTTAGCCTCCACCCCCCCCCCCCCTCCCACTTGACCAGGATGTCATTTAGCATCCATCATATTGTCACTTCTAAAAAAAAAATCATAATCTTTATTTATACTGGAGGAATCCGATTAGCTATAGAGCTCTTTTTTCACAGATGTCCAGTAGGTCCCAACACCTCACGTCATCAGTAAACTCGGGAGTCTTGCAACAGTAGTTTTACGAAGCAAACTTCCCGACGCCG